TGCAACTCGTTGGAGGAGCACCTCTTTTAACTTACCAATAATCTTGTAAAGGCTAGTTACTAAACTAGTAGGTCTTATGTCCCCCAAATGGGCAATGGCAGACTTCTTGGGGATTAAGGCAATGTATGTCGAATTAATTCCTTTGAAGATCTCCCCCGTCTCCATAAATTCCTTAATCATCATAAGTAATTCATGCTTTAAAATGATCCAAAATCTTTGAAAAATGATAATATAAAACCCATCATGTCTCGAAGTTTTATCCTCTGACAAAGAGAAGACTCTCTTTAATTCCTCCTCTAAAACTTCTATCCCCAATTGTCCAGCGACAGAGGAAGGTAAGTGACTGAAGGCCACTCTACTAAAGCTTACATCAAATTTTAACTCGAGAGAAAATCTTATGAAAGTGGTAAATAATTTCATTTTCCCAACTTTCATAATCATCTTCTTCAATTCCAGCGAATTTTAAACCTGACTAGTCATTAGACCTACATCTCGCACTTACAATTCAATGAAAGAATCTTGTGTTTAGATCCCCTTCTTTAAGCCACTTCACATGAGGTCTTTGTTTCCAATAGAGCTCCTCCAATCTCCAATAATCATGCAGAAGATTTAGCAACTGAATTTTTCAATTCACTTGCTCCTAAGTTAAAAAACAGCCGTCAAAAAAATTATGCTGGAGAAGATCAATCTCCACGTCTTTCTTATTTTCCATGTTTCATTTAGCCAAGTTTCCAAGATTTGGAGGGCCAGACTTTACTCTTCGAAAAGTCTTTCATGGTTTATTTATAGACAAGTATACCACAAAATTATGATATCTACTGCGAGGGGTGTCCACCACCCGATATCACTGATGAACGGTAGAGATTAACAGTTGCCAATCCATTTGGTTGACTTTTGGGTGAGACGGCAATATTGAACCATTCTCTATTATAATGTAATCTTTTTTTTGGGTAAATTTATTTTGGGACCTTTTGAGGCACTTGTTTCTCTAGTCCCGCTGGATCAGCCATTGCCTGGCTGGAGCTGGAACAATGTTTTCGATTCACGAATCTTTTATTCATATCAAACATCCAGAATCGGAAAAACAAAAAAAATCCCACAAGTTTGAGTGCAAATAATTAAGAAAACAGAAAAAGGGGCAAAACCGAAAGGGTCAATTTTTTGGAGAGCAAATTCCCAATTCCGTAAGACAATCGCCCGATTAGTCAGTGAGGCTAATCTGCGGATCCGGATTTGACGATTACAATCCAAATTGACATTTCTTAAAACTTTGGTTTCACCTCATAATTCACGCACTATCCTCTTTCCCCAATGAAGAATTTGGGGGAAAAAAGAAAAAACTTTTAACTTGATTAGATATCTTACAAGGGTGTGGTTTTGTATGAGAATGCAACCTCAAACAACCAAATTAAGTTTGTATGAGATTACAACCTAAAACAATCAAATTAAGGTGCACCCCCCAACTTTGCCGTAAGTACTATTAGCATTGAAAATTATTCAGATGGTATGAGAATCTTTTTTAACTCTAATTATATAATTTTAAATTTCAAAAATAGTTCAAATCAAATAGATCTATAAACACATAAAAATCTTTAAAATAGATAGTCCAAATAACATGTTGCAAAAGATATTATTTTTAGGACTTGAAAATGTAACATGGGTTTTCTCCAAAATCTTTGAAAAATTAGGGGTGGCAAAGGCCGGGTCCGGGTTGGGCAAGACCCAGATCCGGAACTAATAATATAATGTGGGACGTGGACCTAACCCAAAAATTAGAATATCTATGTATTTAAGTATATTTAAATATATTTTATATGTTGGGACCCAAAAAATATTAGCGGACCCGGACTCGGACCCAGACCCAAATAGTGTTCGGATCTAAGATTTGGACCCGGACCCAACCCACCGGGTCCAACCGGATCGAGTCTACCCCTCGGGTCGGATCCAGGACCATTGCCACCCCTACTTGGAAAAGTGTTTGGTGAGTTGACCGACTCATACGATTTTTGTACGGTCTCCCTATGAAATATATCTCAAAGATGGATTTTCGAACCAAAATTTTAGAGTTCAATAATCTCAACCCTAACAATGATTGAAATTTGAAAGTTTTCTTTTTCAAAAAATATAAATGCTATTTTATGAATTCATTTCTTCACCGTCCATTTTATCTTTTAGTGGATGTAACATTTTCTGACATCCATCTTAGAGATGGACATTAGATAGACAAGGGATCATAAGTCGGCTGACTCACCAAAACCATGTCCTTAAAAGAAACTTCACAAAAGCTCTATTAACGCTTCTTACTGATCCCCCGTGGTAACATGTACTCTCCTGAATCTGAGCTTAACGTTGCCATTAGCTTCTAATCCTGTTGTATTCACCATAGTTTTCAGAGTCTCATCAGTTCTTGCAACCATGCTATATAAATTGGGAATCTGGATTTTAAAAGATACTTCCCCTACCCATTGGCAAAGCCAGCACCAACTCAATCCGGAACTAAAACCCTGCTGCATCTTATAAAAACGTCAGAGAAGTTATGCTCTTCCAAGCAAAAGATGCCGACTTTCGGGTCAGTTTTTTCATGATAATCTGCTCCTCACCCAACCCATATTTGTTTTGCAGAAAAAACTTCCCGAGGTGACTTATTTGCTGCTCCCCTCCACCACCACTTGGTTAATAGCGCTTCGTTTTTTAGTTTCAACCTACACATCCCCAGAACCCCCTTGCTTCTTTGGAGTGCATATTGAGGCTAGAAACCTAAGTGGTATTTCTTTTTAGAACATGGTTTCTATGTGTTCATGTAGAAATGAGTCACGTCTTAAAAATCTATTTTTGAAATGGATGTAATCTCTAACATGGAGATCATGCATATGAAACTCAAGAACGAAAACATTTGGACCGTTAGTTTCAATTATTTTTAAATTGATCACCTATTTGCATCTATCATTAAAATGGATGTTTTATACGTCGGGGACTAAAAATGTGGTCCCTGCTGCATGAAACAATTTTCCTTCTTTTTACTCCTTGAACCACTCCAAAGGAAACTCCTTATCATGCTTTCTAGTCTATTAAGGACAACAGTGGGGCCCTAAGCAATGAGAAATGGTATACCGGTAGATTAGATAGTGTTGCCTGATCATTTCCCTGCCATGAAAAATACCTTAATTTCTAGGAATCTAGTTTATATTAAAACATATCAATGATTGGATCCCAAATTGATCAAGTCCGCCTACCTTGCAACAATGGAATACCCAGGTATTTGGTGTCGATGAAGTCCGCATAACAAAACCGAATCAGTTTGCATACGATTGGACAACCTTGGACCTGCAGTTAATCCTTCTAAATTCGGTCTTCCTCATATTAAAATTTCAGCCCGAAATAAGTACTCATCACAGAAGTGGAAAAGTCAAAAGACTCTTCACTATGTGCCGTATCAACATCATTAAGCAATGAAATATCTATCTACATATTGAAGGTGCGAGATGACCCGGCAATTTGCTGGAGTAAGGAATCCACTGAAGACACCTTTCAAATTTATATATTATATCGTTAGGCTCAAGGATTGAACTACCAGAATAGGAAAGGGAATAGAAGGCTACCTTGTCTAATTCTTCATATACCTTTCAAAAAACAATAGATCTCCTTTCAAACAGTATGAAGACCCCTCCCCCAGGAGAGGGATCCCTAATCCAATTTCTCTCTCTCTCTCCAAAACCTATCAGCCTTTCGATTTCAAATAAATACTTCCACTCGACCTTATCATGAGCTTCCCCAAAATCAAGTTTACATATAAGGCTTGCTTCTCCTGAGATATTTTTAGAATGAATGGCCCATTGGGCAATTAAATTGGTGCCAATAATTTGTCAATCATTCAGAAATGATCCTAGCAACCAATACCAAAAGGCATAGTTCTTTCAGAGATCCCCATGAACAATGATCAGTTCTGCTACCCTAAAACTTCAATATTTTTCTGGTGGCCAGAAATTCACAACCATACAAAGCACTTTCTAGTCATGCATTTGAAGTCATGCGTGTACTCTTCCGGTCTTGCAATGGTCTCAGTTTTTTTCCAAAATGGAAAAGAAGCCATAGCCATTGATATTCCCAACAGTCAACCAAGGAAAGAAAATACCACATGCATGTGAAAGCAAATAGACCGCACTCTGGAGCCCTCTTAGGGTCATCGGTCTAACTTCCTTTTGTGGCAAAAAAAAGTAGACAAAATAGGAAGATGTTTAAGCACATGACATACAAGATTTTCCCTCAAGTCATGGCCCCACCTATAGGAAATTGGCCTCGAATCTAGCCTGCAACTCCATTGGTTATTTGCTTGAGCTTGCGAAAGAAAAAGGAAAAGTATACAAAAAAACTATTTACTTTTGGAACAAGGTGGCAAACACTATGTCCATTAGATTTCCAAAAGGGTGGTTCCAAGAGTGTCCCTAAACAGACTCAAATTTCAAGAAAAAAAATCTTGAACTTTTTGACACACCTCAAGCCATGTAATTGGTCATCAAATTGCTTGGAGTAAGTGTAGCCTCATTTAACAAAGATATATGCTATCATAGTTTACAATCCAAAGAAGAATTACCACTTATTTCAGTGATGCGGTTAGCATGCGCAAGCCCACACATTTAGAAATGAGGGCCCTTAACAAATTTATTTTTAAAATAAAATTCGATCCTAATTTTTAGAGAATATATAATATTTAACATGGAGATCATGAATATGAATAAATAAATAAATTTTGAAAGCTGGAATAATAATTCTATTAAGAAAACATTTGGACTGTTCGTTTCAATTGTTTTTTTGATGGACCACCTATTTGCATCCATCTTTAAGATGGATGCTTTTATATACCTTTGGACCGCATATTGTACAAATACGCTCCAGCTGGCATGAAACAATTACTCGTATTTTAGTGTATGGGATGACTCATATAGACTGCAAGAGAAGTCAGGAAGAGAATTTGTGAACCCCAGAAACTGGAGGAGTCTTTCACAGGGGAGGAATCTGCAATATTCATGGGCCTTTACTGGCATGAAGAAACAATACCTTTCAGTTTCACATCAACATAAGCATGAGTACTATGACATTCTAAAGATTGCGAAAGCAGATAAAGACTGCTGAAGTAGTTCTAACTATGCATATCCAGATATCGATCAACTGCTTTTTTTTTTTTTCCAGTTTCTGATGTAATTTTCCATCTCTCAAGTTCCAGTGTTTTGAACTTAATAAAGACAAAATTTTGATTTGTTATTGGTGGAGCTCACTAGATTTCCATTACATGGATTGGAAGCGCCTCAAGATAAGTTGGCTCATCTCCAGGTACCTCTGAGCACAATTGTTGAGGCAGGTTGATTCACTAGAGCTGAACTTGCTTCCTGGTGAACCAGAAATACACTTGTCCCAACACACACTTGTAAGCTTCCCCACCATCTCACTGAACATGGCTTTCTGCTTCTCTTGCTGCACAACACCCAAGAGGCATCAACCCAAAACCCTAAGAAATATCAAGATTTCCTATGTTGTTTTTGTTATTTTTTGTTATTGCTTTCTAGGGTTGGGGGGGGTAGAGATATTGGTTTTGCATGAAATTTCATGCATATATCAAGCAGGCAAATCCTGAAAAAATAAAATAAATAAGAATTGAAATAGATAAAAGAGATTCAAGTAGATGACAAGCATGCTCAACAACGTGATGCTGTTCCTTGAGGATGAAGAAAAGAGATTAATTTTTCTTTTTTATTTTTGACAAAAAAGCATTCACAAATAATTTTCAGCTTTGGCCAGTCACAGCAATGAAACAGTCACGGCATATCCAAAGAAATCTTGCAACTGCATTAGGACGATCCGTAAGAGTTCCTACCTCAAAAAAGTCTTCCATTATTTTATTCAAAATAAAGATCTATAATTTTGTTCAAAATAAGTAAAAACAGTGCAGTAAAGTACTATATTCATAATTCTCTCAAAGAGGGCCTGATACCAGGGAAGCTAATTTAGGAAGTACATAGAAAATGGAACTCTTTCAAGCCAATGATCATCAGTTGGTAGGTCAGAAAAACGATTTACAATATTTTTAGTCCATGGGATGAGTCATATTCCTTGTGACAGAGAAGTCTTGGCCAACAAAATAATGCCATTTTGAGTTTGGTGTTAATCTCAATTACAAATGATTCCTATGTTGTTTTTGTTATTTTTTGTTATTGCTTTCTAGGGTTGGGGGGGTAGAGATATTGGCTTTGCATGAAATTTCATGCACATATCAAGCAGGCAAATCCTGAAAAAATAAAATAAATAAGAATTGAAATAGATAAAAAAGATTCAAGTAGATGACAAGCATGCTCAACAACGTGATGCTGTTCCTTGAGGATGAAGAAAAGTGATTGATTTTTCTTTTTTATTTTGGACAAAAAAGCATTCACAAATAATTTTCAGCTTTGGCCAGTCACAGCAATGAAACAGTCACGGCATATCCAAAGAAATCTTGCAACTGCATTAGGACGATCCGTAAGAGTTCCTACCTCAAAAAAGTCTTCCATTATTTTATTCAAAATAAAGATCTATTATTTTGTTCAAAATAAGTAAAAACAGTGCAGTAAAGTACTATATTCATAATTCTCTCAAAGAGGGCCTGATACCAGGGAAGCTAATTTAGGAAGTATATAGAAAATGGAACTCTTTCAAGCCAATGATCATCAGTTGGTAGGTCAGAAAAACGATTTACAATATTTTTAGTCCATGGGATGGGTCATATTCCTTGTGACAGAGAAGTCTTGGCCAACAAAATAATGCCATTTTGAGTTTGGTGTTAATCTCAATTACAAATGATTCCTGAATAAGACAAAGTGCGCTACATGTTTAGGCAAAAAATATGGAATTCCTTTCTTAATAATAAATTGTAAGACATGTCGGTTTTTCATTTCATTGTCGTAGAAGATTATATTTGTAGACATGGATTGATTCCATAATTGCAAATCTAGGGGAAATCCAAATTTCAAGAGTTTTTAAGTGATACAGTGTAACAATTTAAGCTCAAGAGTCGAACTCCTTGCCCTAAACTTTGAATAGATTGCAGACCGTTTCATTCCTTAACTGCTCTAGGGTGGTTAGGAGTTGATCCTCTAGGGTGTTAAGTGTTGATCCTTTAAATACAAATGCTCCTACTCTTTCTTGCTGATTTTTCGAGTAACTCACAGAAAGTATTCCTACACAAAAAAACAGCAAGAAAGAGTAGAAGCATCTATATCCAAAATTTTGAAGTATTGTACACTACGTACTTAGCCATATAGAGTGCATGTTACTCAAACCAAACAAACACATACAAATATATGTACATACAGGGACATTTATACATACACGATCAAATAAATATATATACACATATACAATATATGTATGTACATGAATTTCTAAGGTTAACATCCCATAAATACCAGTTGGATAAAGTTTCAACATCTCATTAGCCATCTAATTGCAAAAGTGTTTGTATACTATGAGACCACTTATTTTTTATACGAGAAGGTCACAATCACTTTTAGCCATTGGATGTGAAATCCAATATATGAAAGTATGTCACAACATTCGAGAAATTTTGTTTTGAACTTTGTACCTAAACAATGATACATCCTCAACTACTCAATTTCAAATCTAACCATCAATGATGATTGTAACATCCTTGTATCAAAAGTAAATGGTCTCATTGTATACATTTCCATTACAAAAACACCCTATCTTTTCTTGAAATTGTATATTAATAGGAGATATCTTGGTCATTTTGAAGTGGCATGTCATCTCAACATCACCTAATAGATGCTATTTCTTGCAAGTACAATCTCATTTTAAAATATCTTGTAAATTTCAAATGTACCCCAAGGCTGAAAGGGCACTATGAATGCTATAATCCATACCACAAACACAAATGCATGTGGAGGAAACTTCACTTGCATACCCACAAAAGTAACCAAGGATATTCTTATGCATACAGATATATATAAACCATAGTTTTTGGGTACGGGATCAGGAATGGTTCCAGGATCGGCGGATCAAAGCTATATTGAGGATCCCTGTGTTAGGGATCGATGCCGTACAACCTCAAAGGTCGGGATCGAGGTCCATGTGTGTTGGGGATCGAGCTCCTTTATTATATAGAATCGAGAATTATTATATAAAGGTGCGAGATACTATACGTAAGAAGCGAAGTTCCCAAGGGCATTTTTTTGAGTTCCTAGGGAGCACATTAATGAAAGTGATCCAAAATATTAACAAGCAAGGAATAACTTTTATAGGAGCAAGCTCCATTTTCTTAGAACACGAGTTCCTCGTGTAGGTAATAAGGATCCGAGGCTTTAAAATGTAGCTCCCGGTGTTGTTAACCAATAACATGTAGGCTTTGTCTTTCTATGAAATAAATAAGGAACTTTAAAGCGATCCCATATTGGTGGGCTCTGGATGCCATATATGGAGATGCTTGTGTTCCGTTATTTTGGAGTCTAGATCCCAATGCACTCTGGAGCGCGAACCATAAGACTAGGGAACTAGATCCTGAATTGTTCAGGAATGCGAAATTAAATTGTAAGGAACTCATTCCCTTATAAGATGGAGCGAGATCTGGAAAACACTAAATTGAGTTCCAAACGAGATCGGCTCTGGGGTCGAGAAAATCAAGGTTCTGCAAGGGAACGCCAAGCAAGGGAGGAGATCCAGATAACTATGATATAAATGAGCTCCAAGCATTTTCACAAAATTAAGGACAAAACCCAGAACAAACTCTAACCTCTTGGTTTCAGGGATTGTTTTAGCTAGGAAACCCATAGAGCAGGATACTTGAGCCTGACAAGCCTTCCAAAAACATTAGTTTAAGGTTCAAAGGGGGTGTTAGAAACTTCACTTGCACCGTCACAAGAGTTACCAAGGCTATTCTTATGCATACAGAAATATATGAACGAGCTTCAGGCATTTACACAAAATTAGGGACAAAACCCAACCAACTCTAACCTCTTGGTTTCAGGGATTGTTATAG